GTGTGTGTGTGTATGTGTGTGTGTGTGTGTGTGTGTATGTATATATATATATATATATATATATATATATATATATATATATATATTTATATATATATATATATAAATATATATATATATATAAATACATATATATATGCCATCGTATGACAAGGGATATGCTCAGGTGTTATGGTATCTCAATATTGAAATGACGAGGTCCATCTTTAAAATTACAAGATGTATGGGCAGGCAATTGGACATATGACTATCATATTGAACATACGAGTTCATGCAGAACACGCCAGTGAAATAAAATCCTGGTATGACGCACTGCATTAAAACATTGCTTCTCACAATTCAAGCATACTATCTGAGCCATTATAACAAAAGAAAAAGGCACAAATTCGGATATATGACATTCAAATTTGACATATGAGTGTTCATGCAGTGCAATCTAGGAAATAAACACCTGGTATATTGTACTACATTGACGCATTGTATCCAACAATTAAGCATATTACCTGAGCATCATTCTGTACATATTGCGCTTCCTCGTCGGTAAAAATTTTGAAGAACGCTGGAAGTATGGCCGCCAGGAATTTGGGATATTCCGGTGTAAACACTACTTCGATCTTATCTCTGATCTCAGTCAACAACTGCAGTCTAGTTGCCGGGTCTCCTACGGCAGCGACCAGCTTCTGACCGACATCTACGTAGTTGAGATCACTCATCTCGGCGTATAATATATCAGCAGGGTGGTTAAAGTCCTTGCGGTTGCATAGACGAGAGAATATATTCTGCAAGACAGCAAAGCTGATAGTGTGTGCTGAAAAGACTCGTTTTTATAACCGATCTCTGCTGTAGTGCATGTCTGACTGAAAGCGAACTTCCAGGTGAAGTATATTTTGACGATTACTTACATCCGAATATATATACTTGTGTATCTTGCTATACTAAGGTTTTCACGAGCTCGCCAGCTGCGTAGTACACGCTTACAAGCTTGAGTAAATAGATACATACATACATACACCCTCCCGGAGATTAGTTACCCATGAATCCATCATGAAGTATTGGAAAGGGAAAGGCATGAACGGTATTCAACCGCCAAAACGAAGAACCGCTATTTCTAAGCTATTGTGGGGAGAATTTCAAAAACTGAAGCTGGGAAATATGGTAGTAGCCCGTGCCGTACCGAACATCTAGTTAAAATCTTCGGCATCTTTTTTAATTTATATGTGTGGATGTAAATGTGTAAAATATGTGCATTTTAACTACATATGATATAATATCCCCCCCCTTCCCCCACTTTAAAAAAAAAGCATATCAGATTTAAGATTTCGTGATTGCGATATCACACATATCCATAGCGCGAATACCATCACGTCCTACTTTCGTATGTTGTTGAATACCAGGAGTTAGCCACTAAGGAACATATGCACTACAGTAAATATAACTAGAATCACCTCTACATTTGTATCGGTACGTCTGTGCAGCGTGAGACACTACACCGTGTACATGGTTGTACAACTTGGTGCGGAATAGGTCTCAGATATATGCAGTTGCGGCTGACTCTTGTAGAAGTACTAGCTCGCAACAGCGGGCAACACAGCTGACACCATGGTGTTAACTACGCGTCAGGAGGAAGAACTGTAAGTCTAGTAGCAATGTGAACGTGCAAACCAATACCATTATGTGTTTTGCTTAGTCTCAACCCCTGCTCAATCGCTTTTTAACAACAACTGACGTACAAACATATATAAATGTATATGTATATGTATATGTATAT